TCTTCTCCTGCCTGCTGAGACAGGTACAATCATATTCCCTCCCCTGATCTCCCTTGGGTCCTCTTTCTGCTGAAAAATATTTTTGGCTCTTTGGTTTTTTCCGCTGCACCTTCCATAACTCTTGTTGACATGTAGAGAAGAAAAAATACCTTTTGCCACTGCAGATCCATCTTCTTCCCTTTCTTTCTGTTCCTCACCTGTGTTGTTAGTGGAGCTGCACCCATGCAAACTCCTCGGACGTGTGCTGTCACACCTGGTTAGTTTGGGTCTGGGTTTTATCATCGGAGCAGGTTTCAGATGGGCTCGCCAAAGAGCCATGGAATGAACCCAGGGTCATTTCCTGTCAGGTCCCAGTGGCAAGTGTCAGTGGCACTTGTTTGTTGAATTGAGCTGTTCTCTGTATGTGTGAGTTTGGATCTCTAGTCTGAAACTTAAAGGAGACTTCTTGACGTACCAATAAAAATAGCACCAAATACAATAAAACCAAAGGAGAAGTTTTGTATGAATTTGATGTGCGTTGATAGACAGGGTTGGGTTCTCCATTTTGGCTTTCTGAGTTACTGTGGTCTTCTCTAGGAACTCAGATCATCATCACTGCATTGGGATTTAGCCTTCGTTCCTCCAGTACAAAGCAGTTCTCCTGGGGCTAGGTAAATGGGGATTGCTGGTGGCTGGAGTCAGACACCTCCGACTCTATCGACCTACATTTGACCTGAGATTTAAATTTACTGTTTAAAATGTGTTTTTCCTCAAATAAATATTTTTTCCTCCAGTTCTTTGGGGATGAGAGAGAGTTACTTGTCTTACAAAGTATTAACCCCCCAAGGAATGGTACTTAGAGCATGGAATTGGAAAAAACAAAACTAAAAGCAACTTTGTGGATTGTGTTGCCCACTATGGCACTTGGGTTTGCTTTGTGTTAGCTCAGCTGTTAAGCTGTCCCCACTCTCTTCTCTGCAGCTCTCAATTATTTATGATTCTGTTGGCAAACTTTCTTTCAGCGCTATCTTCCAAATAGCGTGGGAACTATAAACAGCAGAGATGTCAGTGCTGGTGGCAACTGAGCGGTAGCGATAATCCGGTGAGACTCTTTCTTCCTGGGCTGTATCTAGCCCAGCGAGACATCTCAGTGCTTGCACACACCTTGCTGGATCCGCTGCTGTGAAACCCCAGCCCTGCATCGATCTCAGCCTAACGGGGCTGAAGAGAGAGAGAGACAGACCCATAATTGTGCATGAGTGGGAACAGTCACGACAGTCTTGTACACAAAATGCTCCGCTCAAGGAATAGCCAATTACTCAGAATTCAGCCCGAACCTGGGTCTTTAGCACAGCATGGTGCTTCGTATCTTACGGCTTGAGGTACTGCTCCATCCATTCAAAGCCTGGCGGTGGCTGCCTCGGTCGTCTGGCACCCCCCTTCCCCATTGCCTGTCTCTACTTACTCGTCTCTGCCTTGAGACCGGGGGTTTTCTCATTCCCTCTCTTCTTGCTGTCCTCCCAGAGCACTGCGCCGCTTCTTCCCCTAATAAGGACTTGTTTCAAATTGCCTTTGAAAGTAATCTCTGGACAAAACGTTAAAAGTAAGCTGTTGAATAGTTTTAGCCTCCAAAGATTAAATCTTGTTAAAACAAGCCCAAATAGGACTGGAAATAGATTCTTGATTTAAATAATTTTCAGTAAAACTTGTTATTTTGTTTACCCTGGATTTCCCTGAACTCCCTCCCCTGCAAGCTCATCCATCCTCCCTGGGGTGCTTTTTCCATTTCCCTGGAAGAAAACCAGCTTCAGCTCTGCAAAGCGAGCTGGCCTGTGTCAGACCGCTACAGCCTGGGCCAGCTGGAGAGCTGCTGGCCACACAAAGTATGTTCAAGACCTTGTAAAAGAGCCTGCTTTGGGAGCCTCCTTAATTTTTTGGAAGGACAGGGTCACTAAGGACAAGTCCTGATTTCAGAGTTCTCCGTGCAGAGTCACCTCCCAGTCTTAGAGCAGTCTTTGAGATGTCCCCTCGCCTTTGGGGTCTGTGGTGTTATTCTTCCCTCTCCCTTCTAGAGCTTAAGAGCAATCTAGGTAGGATCTAATCCTGCTTTTCCATCCCTGCCTGAACCCTGGCGACAGGCAGGAATTGCTCCCAAAGGCTGGTGGGCATCACCTTGCCCCTCTGATCACACTCTGGTGCGGTGACATCCCACCAGCATGATGTCCTTGAGCTCTGTCAGCCTTGGAGATGAGGTCAGCATGGACAGACACCCTGGGCTCTGCCTCGTGCGTGGCCGAGCCGGACCCCTGCGTTCCTCCACTGGGGACAAATCAATGGTTTTGTCTCCTTTCAAAATGAGAGGAGCAAAAGCCGTGGGACAGGAGCAGTCCAAACTGTGTTTAAATGGAAATAAGAAACGAGCTGAAGGAACGGCACCTGTCAGCAGGAGGCTGCTCACAGCAGCCAGCGCTAGATCTGTTGTGGGAACGGCAGAAAACGTGCGCTTCAAGGAGACGAGTCCCTCGCAAACCATGGGAAGAGACTAATGAACGCCCTGAGGAAGGGCAGATATCTGTGCAGAGCTTGTCCTGCTGTGTTTGAGTCAGTTTTGTATCTCCTGACAATGTAAATAACCTGCATCCAAGCCAGGATTAAGTCAGCACTGGCCGCAGGCTTTACTAGTTCAGAAGAGACCACTTGTCCTTGCAGTTAAGGGAGCAGCCTGTAAAACCTGCAAGCTGACAAGCCAAACGCCCGGCAGGCAAACCCAGGCCATCTCTGTCCAGGCGTTGTCCTTACTCAGCGCTGGCTCGGGAGATGCAGAACAGTGCGGGGAGGAGGAGGGGGGTCACTGCGCCAGTGGCTGGGGGCCTCCCTGCGCCAGGGGCTGCCGCCTTCACAGGATCTGTCCTCCCGCAGGTGATGAGGCACGAGAACTCGAGCGTTTTGGAGCTGGATGGGAAGGAGGTGTCTGTCTTCACCCCCTCCAAGCCCCGCGAGAAGTGGCTCCGCAAGAGGACGCACGTGAAGCTCCGGGTAAGGGTGGGTTTGGGGCTGCTTCCATGGCGGGAGGGAGTGCTGTCGTGTGGAGGGGGTTCAATTTGGGCTGTAAGAATGGCACTGAAGGCGGCCAGCATGGGCACGGCTGTGTCTGTCCACGGCAGAGCAGAGGATCACATTGCACTGCTGGTATTTATTAGTGATTATATCTTACCCATGTAGTTGTGTAAGAGTGATGTGAAAGATCTGTATCAGCAAGGTTTCCTCTTGGCCTTGAGTCTATGGAGAACACAGAAAGCATTGGCTGTGGGTCAGGGAGAGGGACCGAATGTATTTCAAAGTCCAACAACGCAAGTTCTCTGCTCGGTAAATGCCCTTCGCTCCCAGGAAATGTCTCTGATTCCCAAAAGAGGGTAATTCTCTGCTAGACCTGAAACAATGTCAGCAAATTTCTCTGGCAGCTGTGCGTATTGCCTCTTAAATCCAAAGTGTAAGAGTTAATAGACAGTATCTGAATTACGTGTTCAAACTGCCATTTAAATTGGCTCTTCAGCCATGTGTGCCCGAATCCACCATCAATGCGGGGCACAGAGTCTCACCTCTGCCGCAGGTCAAATGCTTCTCCAAAGCTGAGAGCTGCGGGTGGAGTGGAGGGGGGGAATGGCGCAGAGAAACCCACGCTCCAATTTGTCTGGTTGTATTTGGCTTTCCCCTGCGAGGCTGTCCATCGCCGCAAACTTTTTTCTTTCTTTTTTGATTTTTTTTTGCCCTTTCCCTCTTGACTTTTGTGCAGAACGTCACAGCCAACCACAGGATAAACGACACCATCGCCAATGAAGATGGGCCCCAGACCTTAACTGGAAGGTTTATGTACGGTCCGTTAGATATGGTGACACTCACAGGAGAAAAGGTACTGTCTGCTGTGGGGGTTGCGCAGTCATGGGGTGAAAAGTGTGGGGGACAGGGACAGAGGCTCGGTGCTCCCTTGGTCCCTGATGGGGTTTGCTACCTTTGCATCTTGGCCAGGTTCCCCTGCTCAGACTTGTGTGGTTCCTCCAACCAGGAACATCCTTCATTGCGGAGGTCTTCACCTCCGAGGCCAGGTTTCATTCCAGCGTCCCAATGTTTGGGTGCTTCTCAGCTCAGATCTGTGAAGTGCAGAGGGTGGAAGCAGGACCCAGCCCTGCTGCCATCCAAAGGGGCTTCGGTGGAAGGTCCTCACGCTTGGCCTGTTCTACTCATCTCTGTCTCTAATGCTGTTGTTGACTGAGCCTCGCTGTCTTCCCAGGTGGACATTCACATCATGACCCAGCCACCGTCAGGAGAGTGGGTTTATTTTGACACAGAGATCAGCAACAGCAGTGGCAGGATTTCTTATGTCATCCCTGAGAACCGGCGCCTGGGCATTGGCGTGTACCCCGTGAAGATGGTGGTCAGGTGAGGTACCTTGGGGTGCTGGGGCTTAGTTTGCAAGAGGAGCAGAGGTGGAATTTGATGACTGGAGAATATGGTCCCTCATTGCGGGGCAGCTCTGTTGGGTGGGTTCAGGGCCTGGTTTGCCAGCAAGAGAGGGACAAAACCATTTGTGCTCTGCAGCTGTAAGAGGAAGATCTGGGTTTTATTCTGACTCCTACATCATCAACAGGATGGTCATTGAGCTCCCGTTGCAGGAGCAGATCTTCTGCACCACAGGCACATGGCCTCGCGGTCATCTGCAAAACTGCACAATTGAGCATATTTTGAAGACCATAAACTTGTCCTTGAGGGACAGAGCTTTGTACTCATGATAATTCAGAGCCCAGAGGCTCTAGCTCAGCTCCAGTTGCTGGTGCTGAGCTCTGGAAAGGGGAGGAGAGGAGTATCTTCTCAGTGGTGAACCCAGCAATGGTTTTCTGGGAGAATTTTTTTTTTTTTGAGTCACTGATGTCAGAGCTCCGGAGTACTATTACCAGCCCCGCTTTAACACAGCTGCCTTCATGCAGTGGCTGTCACTGCTGTAGCTGAGGGTGGCATCGCTGTTAGAGCCTTTGGGCTGGATTTGGGCGCTGCTTTGGGCTTGTGATGCGCTGCAGGACTCGGTGATACCTTCTGAAAGAACCTCTGTATCTTGATGCCTATAAATACCTGCGTCCCTTTCAGGGGCGACCACACATACGCAGACAGCTACATCACGGTCCTGCCGAAGGGGACGGAGTTTGTGGTGTTCAGCATCGACGGCTCCTTTGCAGCCAGCGTATCCATCATGGGCAGCGACCCCAAAGTCCGCGCCGGAGCGGTCGATGTTGTAAGGTCAGTGGCTGGGGCGGTCGGTCTGTTTTACCCCGGCATCACTGTAGGTCTGCAGTCCGTTGACTTCTGGCTTTCCTCCTAGGCACTGGCAAGACCTCGGCTACCTCATTATCTATGTCACGGGCCGCCCCGACATGCAGAAGCAGAGGGTGGTAGCGTGGTTAGCACAGCACAACTTCCCCCATGGGATCGTCTCCTTCTGTGATGGGCTCGTTCACGACCCGCTGCGGCACAAGGCCAACTTCCTGAAATCCCTCATCACGGACGTAAGCCTGGGTCTGCTGAAATACGATCGTAGCACGGGTTTAGATTGCTCCTCGTCCAATTGCCCCTGTCAGCACCAGTCTCTTGGCAGCAATGTGCCCTGCAGTGGAAGATTAATCTGTTCATTTTATTTTCATCCTTTTATTGCTCTACAAAAGTGTCGACGCTGTTAAATTGTGTCATCCCTGCTCTGCACTGCTCCATTTCATCACTGGGCCTTCCAACACCAAATGCTTAATGAAACAGAGGCAGCAGTGCCTCCTCTTCCCCGCACATGCACTTTTTTCACCTTTTTGGTGGTTTTCTGGCTGCCTGTGGTGTAAGCAGCAGGTCTGAGAGGGCACGGGGCGGCTGCAGAAATGGCCTCGCACCACCCAGCCTTGACGGGAGACTCCACGGAGCATCTTCCCAAGCGTTCAACCCCAGGGAGGTCTTAATGTTCCTCAGCCCAGAGCCTCAGAAAAGCTCCAGATAAAACAAGATTTTTCTCAGTCTGGCAAGTGAAGGAGCTGCCAGTGTCCCAGCACTTGTGCCCTGCCTCGAACAGCGGGGACACACCTCACTGACTCTCTTGGACTCCTGTTTTGGCCCCGAGTCACAGTGGAGGGAGCAGCTGGCCCTTCCTTGCAGCCTGCTCTCCCTTGTCCTCCAGAAGAACAAGTTTGTGACCAACGCCAGAGATTTCCTTTCCATCTCCCTGCCTGGCCCGCGGCTCCAGGGGCAAAGCCGGCCGGTCTGTGGCGGCGCCGGTGTCTGCACCGCCCCTGCTTCAGCCCACTGAGGAAGGGGTTGGCCAGGAGCTGCTCTCTGCTCGGAGTGGAGGCCGATGAATCCCTGAAAAGCAGCATATTTTGCTGCCTGTCCCTTCTCCCTCTGCCCAGCAGAGTTTAACAGCAGCACTGCATGTGGCAGCATGGCTGGCGGAGGGGAACGCTCCCCGCTGACGATTACTGAACGGGGGGTTGCAAACCGCTCCTCTCCCCCAGTGACAATTAGGCAGTGAAGTGTGCGGCCTCCCTGCAGACCTCAAGGGAAGGCTGTGGATCAGCAAGCGGAGATCTGCTTTCGTATTGCTGTTACTCCTCTTGTTCTGGCCTGTAAACATCCCCGGCTCCGTTAATTAGCACTTTGCACAGCGGTGCGTTATCCAGCTGGGAACTTACCTAAGTTATTGACCTGAGATTCGCACAAATGCTATTTAAAAAAAAAAAAAAAAGCGCCCTGCCTGTTGAGCGGCATGGGGTGCCCATATGTTCTGACCGCGCGTTGCTTTCTCTCCCCGCAGCTCCACATGAGGATCCACGCGGCATACGGATCTACTAAGGACATCTCTGTGTACAGCTCCATCAGCCTCCCGCCCACGCACATCTACATCGTTGGCCGACCCACCAAGAAGCTGCAGAGCCAGTGTCAGGTAGGAGCCAGCTTCTCTGAGCCCTGGAGGTACCAAGGGCCTCCCGTGGGAGGGTGATGGGAATTTGGCCATCTTAAGACTGGAGACGCCAAGAGGACAGGAACTGTCCCACGTAGCAGGACATGCCCGAGAGGTTCCACATCTCGTACGTTGTCACCCCAGAGCACCTGGCACAGCAAACGCGTTTGGCTGGCAGTGGCTGCCAGGGAAACGCGTCCCATCCCTCTAACGCCTGCCCTCATCCCTCTTGTCTCGCAGTTCATCACGGAGGGGTACGCGGCCCACCTGGCCCAGCTGGAGTACAACCACCGCTCGCGCCCCGCCAAGAACACCACGCGCATGGCGCTGCGGAAAGGCAGCTTCGGGCTGCCCAGCCAGACCGAGTTCCTGCGCAAGAGGAATCACCTGCTGCGGACCATCTCCTCCCAGCCTTCGGCCACCGGTTGGCCACCGTCCCGAGCGCACCCAGAGCCAATCCGATAGCGACAAGGAGAGGGACAGGGAACGCAGCCAAAGAAGCATGAGCATCGCCACAGGGTGCTGGGGCCGGAGCGCAGCGTCCCGGCTGGAATCTGGCCTCTTGGGGCAGAAGTAGCCCGGCCAGAGCCAGTGACTGTTGGCTGCAGCCACGGGAGGAGAAAACAAAAGGAAAGAGGGATGAGGCCAGCATTACGGGCTGGAAGGGTAAATATGGTGCTACTCTAATAACATCACGGTATTCTGGGAAGAGACAGGATGTTTCCCACGCAGAACGTGCAGGCCTTGCAGCGGGAGCGTCAGGTTTGTGCAGCATGAGCCCAAGAACAGCTGGAAGTTGGGGGGGGAAGTCTCCAGGTCAAGATGGCGCTCTCTCCTGCCTCCTTCTCTTATCCAGGTTTAGTGACTGTAAATACGTGCCTCCTCGCCTTGTTAGCCATCGCTCCGATACGCGTGACCGAGTGCTGTCCTCAGAGCCGCAGGAACGGGGGATGAGGCTGGGGGAACTTGTTCGTGGTTGTCCCAGGAGTCAGACTGAGGTGCTGTGCCGGTGCCGCACAGGGTGGGGTTGGGGTTCGAGACCCTTGTTGGTTCCCTGGCACGGACAGCCCCAAGCGAGGGATTTATCATGGGCTGTGCCAGACAGGGCAACCGAGAGCTTTACCTGTACAAAGAGCTTCAAGTTCAGCCACTTTCTCAAGGAGTACGTGCAGTGGCAAAACGTTAAGGCGTATCGATGCTGTTGGTAGAGGCAGAATGTCAGCAGATTCACGCCCAAGAAAGTGGGGTCGTTATTGTTATTGCTGTTATTTTTTAAAGAGACCTTTTAGAAGCCGATGGCATTCAATGCGTTGACCTATTAGAAGAAGAATACAAGCTATTTTGTTTGAGCTGTTACAAACCTCAGACACTTAATTTGCTGTTAAAGTCTCCAAATATTCTCGCTATATATTATTTCCAAAAGTAACCACCGTATATTTGGAAGCAGCTGAAGGCACTCAGCAGCTACATTGCATTGCAGTTCTTCTCATCCAAATGCAGGGTCTGACTCTCTCAACACCCACCTCTGAGACGTTTTCTTCTTCCCAGGTTCTCTCCAAGTTCAGTAGCAGCTTTCATGGGAACTAGACTCGCTTCTTTTACCTGTAGTTACTGAACTGTAAAACCTCATTGTTTTTTGCACTGATGATTTTTAGAATGGAAACCTGTTACCATCTCATGTAGCTACACCTAACTCTTTGTAGTGCATGACAATGAAATATTGCTAAGCCAGGGTGTGTGTGTATATATATACATATATGCATATACATATGCACACACACGTATATATATGTATATATTAAAAAAAAAAAATCTGTGCAGAAGTTTTTCCAGCAGTAAGGAGACTGTAAGGAAGTGTCATTGCCAACAATGTCAGGCAAGCTTAAGAAAAGGCCATATCTTAATTTTCCTGGTGTGTTTC